ATGCTACTCTTTGGCAATGTTCTCCAGCACCTCTATCAAAGTGGGTGCTAAGTTCCTCATCAATGATTTCAAGCTTCTTGAGAGTAATATTGACTTCAGAGGATAATGTATTTGACTTACTTGTTCTTACCCACTTCTGTAATGCCAGATAATACATATTTGTTCTCCTCCATTTTTGGAAATTCGTGTCGCGATATCAACCTTCTTTCATTCTACCTACATGTACACAATTAAAACATCTACATTTGTTACATATTGATTGAGGTTCGATTTTGATTAGGCAAACAAGAATGCGATCTTGGTCTCTCAGGCTCTCTTGTAAGATGGAGCATCCTTAAAGTCACCAAAGCAAGTCTCAACTCTACAAGCACTGGTCTTAAAGGATCCTGCTAACTTCGACCGACCAAAATAACTTTATCATACTAAATAACACCTTGAAATTCTAAAACTCTGCAGTGTTCTCGTTCTTCTTTATGTTGGTACTCAATCAAAATACATCCTCAAGTAGTTTTCAAATAAGTAGCAGTCTCCAAACACCCCCCCCCCCCCCCTCTCCCCGGGCTCCCAAAAAAAAACAAAAAAAACCATTTGTTTCTACCATTGTCTCTGGGATCTCTTGGGATGAGAGTGTGAAGCCCGATAAGTTTCACCATATCTGTCAAGCCAACAAACCGCCAAAGCTATCCTCCTTCCATAAGCCTCTTACTCCATCCATATTCATCTCTCTACATCCCAAACCATAAGAAAAGATTCACTTTTATATACTACTCCCTTAGAGCATGTTTCCCGTCGTCACTCCGACTTGGTGCTCCTATCAAGCTCTACTATCTTTTCAATACATTTGTATGTTGAGGATATTCCTTTTTCTTTTGTTGGTCGATGGTTCTCCTCGTTTTTCTAGAAGGTGGTCCTTTCCGGAATGTATTCTACTTTTTGAGGTTCCTTGGAAATGGGACTCCCCAGGGGACTCCGGGAGTATCATTTCCATGGAAACAGCCCAAAGTGACCTGTTTGGTTCCTTCTAAAGATGGAATTGACACCGCAAGGCGTCCTGTATCCTCATTTTAAGCCAAATTTCAAGAAATGTCAATTCCACCTAAATAGGTGGAATTGACATTTCCTGGAATTCAAAAGTTAAACGCATAGACCCTAATGTTATTATTGTTACTATTAAATATTACTACTACTATTGTTATTGTGGTTGTTGTTACTATTATTATTATTTAAAATATTTATTATTGAAATAGTGAACATTAAAATTATTTTATAATACTATGTTATTATCTTAATATATAAATATCATGGTATATTACTACTAAATATTTATAATATATTTTGAATATTATAATATCATATTAATAGCAATAGAATATATTATATAATTATTATAATTAGCCGACCCAAGTAATTGGGATAAGGCTCGGATGATGATGATAATTATGATAATTATTATAATAACAATATTATATTATTATTTAATTTATAATATAATTATTATAATAACAACATTATACTACTTTTTTTGAGAGAAAACAACATCATACTCTTATTTAATTATTATAATGAATGCACATGTTTTGTGAAATGTAATGTTGGAATGAAGGAATCTCACATTCTCAAGTATGGATATTATATTACGAATTCTTGAAAAAAAGAAGCTTCGATTTTTGCCTCAAATTTTGGCTGTTGTTAGATATTAGAAGATAAACTTGCCAATTTTGAAATGCCACCATTTATTTCTTACGTGGACAAACATTGCAAAGAAGGACCTAAACAATTCTTAAGTACAATAATCACAACATTGACAATGGTTATTTTTTAAAAATAATGATACAATGAAATTTTTGAATTTCCTATAGATACATCTTCCAAGCAATCCAAACAGTGAAGATGCATCTTCGAGGTCTTTGCCAAATGCTATCCAAACAGCATACACCCATCTTCTAGGAAATACTAATTCCAGGAGATACCAATTCCAGGATACACATTTTCTCAGGAGTCCCGTTTCCAAGGAACCAAACGAGGCCTTAGGATACCAACTTCCCATAGAAGTATGAATTGGATGCATATCGAAAGGGATTAATATCTCTTGTTTCACATTTTGTTAGGAACCAGTAGATTTCAATCTCCCTTTAGTCAACAATGCCAGTTTTCGTGATCACATCTCTTTTCCTGCCACTAGAATTATGTCTCAGTTTGTTTGTACGATCTGCACAACTTGATGAATACATTACTACAGCAATGAATGACAGTTAACTATCCAAAAAAAAAAACCAAAGAAGAAGAAAGAAAAAAGAAAGTACAACAAGAAAGGCAAAGGTACATATTTGTTAACATGATGAAGATAACCATTGAAATCTGGCACTAGACTAACAAGGCAATGCCAAGAGAACAAAGCATTCACAAGCAAGATTCTCTAAACCAATAGCCAAAAATCCTCATAAAACTGTTGTCATCATGGGACTTAAAACTGTTTTGCAAGGACACCACATACATTTAGGGCCTGTTTGGAATGCGTATAGGTCACCAACATGGTAGAATTTCACCCAATAGTAAGAGAGGCCAGAGATGGCACTAATTGCTACAGCAAACTAGTACCATTTCTACGCAAATATGGGATTTATTACGGATGGGTTAAAACTCTAAATAGCTGCGTTTCCCCATTTGGAATAAGGCAGCACGAAGCACCTACTTATACAGGCGATGCAAAATCGTCCTTAGTTATATAAATAATTAGAATATATTTTTGTAAGGACCACAAACCAGCACAAAAAATATTCTCCTAGGCATTGCAAAGACATAAAATGCACAAATACTCCTGCAGTCAGAGAGCTAATCTTTATTCCCAAGACACCGCAAAATTTACTTAATGTGCTTCCTTAATTTTACAACATAGTTTAAAGAAGCACAATCCAACATCAACACACACCTGAAACGAAAGAAAAAATAAAAATAAAAATCCACATAAGTGAGGACAAATTGAACCACAGCAAGACATAATAACCTTTTCCTGAAGTGTAAACCTCATCCCAAGGCATAAAATCTATACGCTTCAAGTGTTCTGAGGCATAGGCCCTATGGGAGCCCAAACCTCAGGCAGAGGTTCAAACATAATTTTTTATACCTTTTGTAGAGAGCACATTTTCAGATGGATTGTCAAGAAAAGTTGAAAACTACCAATCTTGAAGTTGGAAGTTGGTAGGGAGGTTGTAAAGAGGGGGAATGGCAGTGAGTGGCAGCCAAGGTGGTTAAGAGGGTTAAATGCAGGAAACCATTCCCCAATTGAATATCAATAGTGTATAGGGAAGAAGAACACCACACTCCCTCATGACTCATGAGCCAACCCCTCAGCCTCATTATTAGCCTGCCAAGCTTTGTGTATTAGCCACTCCTGGAAGTATAAACCTCAACACAAGGAGAATCAATCTTAATATAGACCATGATCTTCATGCATGCAATGATATAAAAGCGCTTGCAAGTTTGATTTGTCACACTAACGAAAAGCATCAAGACTACTTACCCGCGCTCCTTGGCATTTAGCATAAAGAAAACAGAAAGCCCATGCAATAAAAAGTTGGTGTCAGAATGGCAGATGGAAGAGGCATCGTCAACCCCAAGGGTTTGGAGTACTACAATGATCTCATCACTGAACTGCTCAGCCATGGTGAGACATCTCACCTTCCTTTCTCTCTCTATCATCATGCAAATCTCAACAAGGATCCAATTTTAGTAACCTCTTTAAAAATTCCAACCCTCCATCAAGATGTTGGTCAGCTCTACCATAATACTTAAGATTTACAGAGAAACATTATAATATAAAGCCCATGAGCTTAAAGTGTTAGCATAGGTCTGTTGGAGCTAAGGGTTTTGTAGAAACCTTAGATTTGGCACATATTCACTTCATCCAGGTAATAAAAAAGGGTGTGGTTGCATAAAGTTGCAACCTTAAACAATCAAATTAGGGCGCACATCTAACTTTATCATAAGATGTAATTCTGGTGCCAAAAATTCTTAGGATGACTTGAAAATCTATGCTTACACTGTAGCATAGGTCTGTTGGAGCTAGAGTAAGAGCTGATGGGATCGAAAAATAAATTATACAAGACTAATCTCCATCTAGTTAAAGTTCAGGGCCCCAAGAACAATTACATAGGGGCAAGCTTTCTATGCTTCCTCTACAACATAAAACTTATATACTTCCCCAAATCCAACCGTCCATTCTGAATGGAGGGCTAAGAAGGCCCCAATTACAATGACATGTCTCTACACTATTTTATTTTTAATTTTTTTCTATAAAATATTTTGACACCAAATTTGGGGCGTCCAATACTCTATTAAACTCGCACATGTAAAAATATAAAAACAATATTCCCAATAAAATAAAAATGACCAAAATACCCCTGAAAGTTTCATATATACCACTATATTTAAATCTTGGGTTTTTCTAACAGTAACACTAACACCTCGTGAAATCTTCTATGTTACAAATAGAAAGGGGTGTGAAGAGCTAAAATTACTCTAGTTGCCCCTTTCTTAATCCTCTCTCTATAAAATGAATAAGGACATTTTTGTCATTAGAAAAGGTAACGATGATATTTTGCAATGCATGACAATGGGTATGTTTGTCATCTCAAGAAGCCCATATTTGAAATATTCACTAAATAGCAATCACAAATTCTAATGCATGATTAAGAACCTAAGCAAGAAAAAGGTATGTTCATGTCAGCGAAGAGAGAAAAACCTTCAAGTCTACTCGCACAGAGAGAATGCAACAAAACTACAATTGATTGAAGTGTTTCAGGATCCTAATTTAGCAATCACAAATTCTAATGCATGGTTAAGAACCTAACCACGAAAAAGGTAAGTTCATGTCAGCCAATACGATTAACAGATCGATCAACCAGAAATCAAGAAGCTGATCAATGTTATCCAAATTTGGAATAGAATTTAAAATAAAATATGGACGGAAGGTAGGTGAAGGCCTAAACATCAGCACTTACACTCCACCAGAATGTATGTCCATGTAGTTCCCAATCACATTACTGGCCATGGCTGAACACTCAATATGCCATCCAGGACGACCCTTTCCCCAGGGCGACTCCCAAAACGGTTCACCATCCTTGCTTGCCTGTTAAATAACGTATTCACTTACATATGCATCCTTCGAGATATTAGAAAAGCGTGAACAGAAAAGAACACAGATAGTGCAAAAGAATGAGAACCTTCCAAAGGGCGAAGTCACAGCTATTTTTTTTCTCTCCACTATCAAAATTTGATTCACTTTCAGATGCTAGTTCTTGGCTGCCAACTGCCGAAGGGTTAAGTTTGCCATATTTATGCCCTGCTTCCCTAAATGAAAGAGAATGCTAAAATATCACATATACTTGTATACTAAACATACATGAAGTTTTTTTTTTTTTTAATGTAACATAAAGGAAGTATTTTGACACAAAGCATTAAATTAGCAATAACTGAAACAAAATAAGGCTCGGGGATCACTCCACAGTTTAAGCAATAATTCATATCCTCTCATAAGAAAGTTGCTAACAAAACAACATTGCGGGCCTTTTTTCCACTACATGAATGAAGCCAAGTTCATCACAAAGGAAAAGAAAATAACTTGAAATAGTTAACAACGTATCAGTTCGTATTGCAAATATGGACTTACTGAAAGGCCTTGGTGTCAAAATAAATGCTTCCATTGGCTTCATAGGCAAACCCACGATCCACTATCCGTTGTACATAGTCTTTGATGACATCCATGTACCTGTAGAGATGATATCAAATATAATGGGTAGCAGAGAAAAGTCATAGTAAATTAAAAACATGTGTAACTACATAAGGATATCTCTTCATGAATGTTCCAGCTCAATATCTAAGTAATGTTGCTCCAGAAAAGATGGAGCACAAATAGAAGCAATGCTTTAGAGTACAGACCAATAATGATAGATGAACCAACCATCAATATACAGGAACACTGCTTTCATAGAAACAGTAAGAAATAAATAAAGGAGAAAAGGAATATGTTCTGTGATTAGAACCATAACAGACATACTCATAGGCACAAATGGAGCCATAATCTTACTCTGTCACACGAGTTAGGAACATTGGTGGCTCGACATCAAGACTCTGCATATCTTCCCAAAATTCCTCCTCATATCTGAACGCAACAAGAAAACACTATCTAAGAGAGTTCAAGCAGAAGCATATTAATGAATCAAATTACATAAAAATCACAAGTACAATCCCATACACAGATTGTGAGAGATGCTTTTGATATTATTACTGTGATGAACAGATTGTGTCAGCTTTAGATTTCAACCCCCCCCCCAACCAAAAATAATAATAATAATAAAATGATCCCTAAATTAAACATGGGTTTCCAGAACAAAATAGATGTCTTCTAGGCTGCCTTAAATAGACATTCATCATGCCTTCAAGAAACTCAATTGCGAGTGAGATACAGCATAGTACAAAAACAATCATTTTGATTTATACAAATTAACATAAGAATCTTCAGCCTCCCAAGAATCACGAGGAACCGATGTCATCCATGTGCCCAGCTTCTATAAATGCCGAAGCGGAGGATTGCAATACAAGAGGACCATAGGAATGACGACATATAAAAACACATTCCAGCCAACATTGCAAACAGCATTGTCCATCTATTACTGTTTCAGAAAAACTAGTAACCAAGAACACGATCTAAGAGAAGTGTAAATGGCTACAAAGAATCAAGTAGCCAACAACTCGTTGAAAAAATAAATATTCATGATTTACAACTAGTCAACTACAGATGAAAACACATCATTCACATGCTTGATACAAAACTATTAATTAAGAGAATGTGTTCTATATACTTAGTATTATGGACAAAGACACATGGAAGGAAAAACATACTTAGCGGCATGTGCTCGATAAATAGCCAGGTCAGTCACGGATGCACCTTCCTTTCTGTCCAAATAAGACGCAAGAACATCACTTATGCCATCAGATAACAGTAACTCACCTCCTGCTTTATTGGTGAGAGAACAAGCCTGTGCTTCCCTCCCCTTATACAAAACCTCTAAATCACAAATCTTCTGATGCTTGCTTTGCTCCTCCTTAATTTTCTGTAGATAATTTAAAAAAATGTGCAGCTATGAAAAATGGGTATCATAACAAAGAACGAAGTGATAATCATGGTGGCATGCATTTAGGTCACTATGCAAACATGACATTAGTAGATGAGCATTGCCTTAGCATCCCCAAAGCCTAAACAAGACCTAAGGGAAAGAATGACTAACACCACAGAAATTTTAAGATTTTGAATCACTTCATTTTCAGATTAATTAAAAAGTAGACAGCATCACAAGGCAGATCCATGGAAGAAACAGAACAAAAAGTAACTGCATCAGTCAAAAGGAAAAGGATAGATAGCAATAAAAATTGCCTTCAACTAGCACAATACGACCAAATTCTCAAAAGCTAAGAAGCAAATTTCATTCAATTCTTCCAAGTAATCAATGCCTATCCGGTCCAATATTATCTAATTATAGTACGACAAAAGGAGAAGATTATATTCCAAAATCTAAAAGCATAATGGCAAACAATAAATAACAAAAAGTGTGACGTACTAATAAATAAATAATAAACAACATGGGCAGCTTTTCTTGAGACACCATATTCATCCAATTTTTATTAACTGTCAGCAAAAGGCAAGTAATAGAAGAATGGCAAGCTAAAGATTGACTCGCTGACCTTTCCCGACATTTCAAGAAAGTACCTAGTTTTTCAAAGTCAGGAGAATTTTGACATGAGCATATTTATTTAAATATTTTTGGGCAAAACCCAGAACGCAAGAAAGCGAATGTCTATAAAACCAGTTAACTTGTGTATTAGGGTTCAATTGAGTCATCTTCCTCCCTAACATACCTGGATGCACTCCAAGCCATTGCGGAAGAACTTTGCAAAAAAAATTCGTTTATCATAAAATTAATAAAAACACTATCCATGATTTTGTAGATTTACTCAATGTTACTTCTCATACCATCCTAACATTGAACATTTATCCAATCAATTAAGATGGTAACATCTAATTACAGCTTCTTCGTTGCATTTAGACCTTCAAGAAAAAGTCAATACCATCTTACAACTACAATTACAATAATATACTGATGTTAATATGTTATAATCTTGCTAAATTACTATGAATACACAAAGCACAGATTAACTCGGCAACAAATTAAGAATAGTTCGCTAAGATTCATCATATTATTTTTCTCCGCTGGATCTTAGACTATGATTAAAGGATTAAGAATCCCGACTATAATTTCAAATCTCCCCCAGTCTAAAGTTCATATTACTCCTCAATTTCCTGTAACATTCATTGATGTCTTTCCCATCTCTTTTCCCACTTCCTTTCCATTCTCCCTTCTCATTCGCCAACCCATTCTCTTCAGCACTTAATCTCATATTATACGTGGAGGCCTTTCCTCAACTATCCTGAAATGGTTTAATCTTTCATTAATTTCAAATGAGAACCACAACCCTCAACTATCAAGACTTCTCCATTCTCTCCACATAAAATTTAAGGCACATATTCCCAAAGAAGGAAGCACTCTCCCATTTTCTCCACATGCTGATCTCCCAAGTCAAAAACTAAACAAGTAGTGATAGCTTCAGAATCCAATTCACAAGACACCATTAACCCTTGCTCAAGAAACCTTAACCCCCAACCTCGCCCTTTTAGGAAGGAGGGGGGGGCACAAACTTGGCAAACATGTCAGTCCCCAAAAAAAATAAATGGTATATGAGATGGTAACGATCTAAAGCATTTAAAGAAGACACCCCCACCCCCAAAAAAAAAACACAACAAAAAGATGGTATATGAGAAAAAAATCAACCATAGGCCTTCCCCACAGCAGTCCACCAAAATTTGGTGCATTGATGACAGCCATGCCCAACTGGCCAGACAACTCTAGCCAACCACCTGACCAAAGATTTCTGATAGCTATTTTTTTTACCAGTAAATAAATAAACAAAATTAGAATGAAGATGTTTCATAGTTGACCCTTTGTCTCCACATATATTTTCCTCATATCCACAGTAACAACACTTTCCTGACAAAGAACCAGACCACCATTCCAACTCAATCAACTAAATGCATTCATGAAAACAAGGCAAGAGATTTAAACATGTCATCAGATCCAGAATCCCTGTATCATGAAGCAGTGGCCTCAGAAGATCAGATATGTGGTGAAGGTAGAAGCATTATACTCAACATTATCCAAGACCGCAAAACTACACTTTTTTTTCCTATTCAAAGAAACCAATCAGCTCCCTACAAAAAACAATATCCAATTTTCGATCTTCCACCCATGGAAGAACTTTTCTCAATCTTATTCTAAGAAACCATGGCCAAAGACATCATTATGGCTAGACATCAAAGAGGTCTTCACACACTTACGCAAAGAAATTGAGAAATATTGTAACTCTCACCAAAGAGCGCAAAGTTCTCTACAGCCCTTCAATGACACCTTTTTTAAAGCTGCTACTCTTCCCCGGGTGAATTTGTCCTTACCACCTTACCATCTTTTCAGAGTGTGAAATTTCCTTTTAACGCTTACAGAAGTAAAACTATTCCAAAAGGTATTACTTAAAATGATGGATTTCCTTCTTTGCCCATATACAGAGGAATCATTGGTTTTCACAAATTTCTTGAAGGAGACATTATTATGATTAGACATCAGAGGAGATGATTAGAAATTTGAGAGCCCATCCTCTTCTCACACTTTGCAGGCACATTCAAAACATCGTGAATCTCATCAAAGAGAATGAAGTTCTCTTCAGCCCCCATAATGGCACCCTTTTAAAAAGTCACTCTTATATCACGTAGAATGGATTTCCTCCTACCACCTAGGAACACTATCTTGGGCTATTCGCATATCGCTTCTTTTCAGAGTGTGAAATTTCCATTTAGCCCTTAAGAATGTAATTATCCCAACCCCACCCTTCCAAAGGGGCACTGCCTGCGCATATTCAGAGGGATTATGGTTTCACAAGAATATTTGGTTATTTGTGGTTTTCCCACCAATTTTCCCTCAGTAACCTCACATGGCTTAATGTCTTTCGCATCAAAATTCACATGAAAAAGGGTTCAAAATCAAATGCAAATGTTCTGAAACGCCCTATAGGGCCAGACAAGGCTCGAACCTGCCCCACAGGGACCAGGGCCGGGCTAGGACCAAGTCTGTCCAGGTCCATTGCCAGCAATCTGGTCCATCACGATCACGCTAAGCATATTAAGCTCAACTGCTACTTTATTTGGCATCACTTAGTCTAGCACTCTCATGTTGCCTCATATTTCATCAAGAACGCTTTATAAGTGACCTTACCCACATACATAGCATATGTGACCCCTAGTTTCAGCCATCAAATCTAAGTAGATGACTAAGATGGCTTGAGTCACAATGTCACAAATTGGCTTTTAACCATCAAATCTTGATCAAACGGCTCAGAGTTTTTTATTTTTAATTTTTATTTTATAAATCATTTAAAGCAAAATTTGGAACATGCATAGATCGGAGAGGGGCGCACATGATAAACATAATAATAAAATATTTTTGGAGATGAATAATTACCAGAATACCCCTGAAAATTGCAGGGGCATTTTTGGTCATTTAGTTTTACATAAAATATTTATTTTTTATTTTTCCCAGGTCGCCCTAATTTTATGATGGGACTCCCAAAATTTCATCCACAAATATTTTATAGAAAAAAATGAAAACTAAAACAGTTTTTGGCGTGACATTGGGGTATGAACAATCGTAGCCATTTGATTCAGATCCGGCTAAGAAATGGGGTCACATATAACTTATATGTTGTTGGGGCCACATAGAAACATTTCTCACCACTCGAGCTTGCCGACTAATTCACTAAGTTGCGCACCACCCTGCGGTTCAGATTTATCTTGAGAAAACTCTCAATATTCATCCATCCAAAGATCGGGCAGTGTTAAAGAGTACAGGATACTCTTATTCATATTGTATATTGTTCAAGGATAGTTTAGGCAATTCTCCTTCTCAGCAGTATTTTAATAATTTTTTATTCATTATTGCATATAAAAGATGAACACTCCTGGAATGATAATGTGTTCATTTTCTTTTCAGTTCTCTAGCATTGTAGAGACCTATCTGCTTCTTGAAGTTAACACATTCATGTAAAAGCCAAGGACAAGGGTAAAGGACACCCAACCATTAAAATTTTCAATCCTTAACAAATGCTCATATAAGTTTCCTCTTTTTCTAACAAAGACTAAGAATCCTATAAGAAAAGAATGGGTCCCCCAGCATCGAAGTTGAGAGAGGTTCTTGCGGTACTTCAACCAAGTCAAGAATCAGGATGATACCCTTCCACATATCCATATCCCCTGAATTTTGATGATTTATCGTTGCATTGATAAGATCGTCCATGAGCCTCCTTTACTAGCCCTACCGAAGAGCACTTTTTTTGGATAAGTATCTCCTAATTACTTTAATGCCTCCGAGCAGCTCCCTTAGGATATAACTAGATCACCCCTTTTTCTATGCAAGATGGTACCCTATTTCCTCTCCTGTCCCCATGGCCTATTTCCCCTAAGTTAATGCAGAACTCACCAGTGAGGGGCTAACAATTTCCGCAACTGTGAGAACTGCATCATCCACTTAATGCACAAACACATGTTGTGTGCGCACACACACTAAAAGCCTAGTAGGAGTCATCATTCTTATGTTTTGATCTATGTGCCGTTAACATTCTAACAAAATCCGACACTTGCAAGTACGATGAAAATGGAGTTTCCAGTTTTTACTAGAAAAAAATTAATGTTTTTTAAGTGCTCCACTTCCACTTGGGGTCTAAAGTGGCGCCGACAGGGACCACTCATGCAAAAATGGTTCCTCACTTAAAAATTGCAGCCCCAAAAACATCAAACCATGGTTAGTGCAGCATGAATGAACCCTTAATCTTCACCGTACCATTCTAGAAACTGGTTTGGTCACATCTTAACAATCACACGAAGGCACACACATTTACACACTCAATAAATGCTGGTGAAGACTTTGATTCCAACTTTAGTTTTTTTTACATAAAAGGAAATCTCCAGGTTTTTTTCTTTTTGAGAATTAACAGGAGATTTGCATGTTTACTCACTAGAAGACATGACAACTAGTCTATCCAATTTAGTTTACCTGACCAAGAGAAGTGGGGTCCAGGTCTTCTTTCACCAGGCATTAATAAAATGACACAAGAGAAATGCCTAGAAAAAATAAAACGGCTTAACAAGCTCATAAATAAATCATTACATACAACTTCACATGTCACAAGAAGAATGTTTCTTCTTCGGACATTTTCAGACCATCTCAGACATCTTAGGTTTCCATGCAACATGTTGTCAATATGTAAAAATGACATATTCAGCGGATAGCAATAGGTTTCATAATTGGTATGCCAATCAGAAATACAACAAATTTAGATCCAGAATAATGGAATGTCACATGAGAAACAATAAAAGAAAATAAATTGCAATAAATCTATTTGCAAACTTCAAAAGAAAAATAAACAATCACAAACAACTTCACCATTTCAGTATCACCATGCGCCAAAGCTATGGTACCTCAAGAAAAAAGCAACAGTGCCTAGGTTTGCTTATTTGGACATTCCATTAACATCCAGACCATCTTTGGTTTGTATTCAACATGTCATCAATGTGAAAGCATGTAATTCAACACACAGCAAAATGTCACAATATTAATAGTTCAATCTGCATTTAATAGAAGAAGTTTGAACATGGCAATTAATTATACATTTAATAGCCAATGGACGAACCGAATAGGGCCTAAGCAAGGCGTATTCAGCTTGGTACTGGGGTGCCGCCTAGGCACCCTACGCCTAGGTGGACCTATGCAGCCCTTGGACAAAAAAAGGCCCTCGGCCAAGGGCTTTGATGCGAGGCGCCTCTCTCTCTCTCTCTCTCTCT